TTGCTGCGCAACCACACGAAAGGGAACGCTCTCCCCGGTTCACTCGCAGCGCCGCACGCCTGATGTCAAGCTTTTTAACTCCTCCCTTACCCCGTCGTCTCTCCAACGAGCCTTCCAAGCAAGCCACCCCCCGGGCCAAGCCATGCTGGGCCGCGACCATTAACAACCCACTGGCAGAAACTTCCGGTGCTCTCTGTTGGCCACCTAAAATCTGGGATTGGCCATATGCCTTCCCCCTGGAACCCTCTTTTAATGCAACTCCCCTGTTCCACAGCCTCGGCCTGCACCAGCTCCCCAGCTCGGTAAAGCCGAATTTCCCATCTTGCCCGTGAGCGTCCCGACCCGGGGTTTTGCTGGGTGCCCGAGACCAGCAACAACACGCAAGAGTTGGGGAAGTTGAGGCAAGCCCGGGAGCTGGAGTCAGGAGGGCTGCTGCTCTGGAAGAAAGCGAAGGATGATGGAGGGAGAACGCACCGTACGTGTGCGGAAAAGCAGGGAGGAACAGCTATGCCCAGGGCTCCCTCTCTCCCCCCTCCACTGCCACCTCACACAGGAGCAGATTTTGATGGAGCAGAGCGCCTGATCAAAGAAAGGAGGAATGAAGGAGGAGACCAAAGACACAGCTTCAGGGAAAGAATAAATGAGCCTTTGCAGAAGACCTGGAGGAAAAGAGGAGAGGGTGGGCCCAGAATCCGGCTCCGGAGCGGAGGCAGGGAGGTGCTCCGCAGCCGAGCACTTCCCGAAGGCAGGTGCGCCCTTGCCGCGGCACTTCAGAGCATCGGTCAAAGCAAGTATGCAAACCTGACAGGCGATGGATCATTCCAGAGGAGGCTGGACAGCTTGCTACCAGCCCCTCGAAATGCCAGGGTGACCCGGGGGCTGATGCTTTAGATAAGCCTTTATTCCTGGGCGGGGATTTCTGCAGGACAAAGCATCTTCCCCAGCCTCGTGACCAGCGGTAAAAAAAAAAAAGCACTGCGAAGGCCCCCGCGTCCAACCCCGGGCAGCTGACAGCCGCCTCCGGGCAGCCAAGAGCTCAGCACATCCTAAGTGCAGTTTCAAGGCACTGCAGAGAAACGTTCTGGCTCGGCCGGAATAGAAAACGATTCTTGAAAGTGCTCTTTGTTTCCCCCCTCAAAAAAAAATCCAGGCTGGCATTCAGACTCCTGCTTGGGGTTTGAGTCAAAGAAGTTAGGACCAAAGTGTCAGAATTCAGAGTGAAAGCTGGAAAGTTGGACTATTTCCTCGTGTCAGAGAAAGCACAGGGCAAGGAAAAAAAACCTACACGCCCAGCTTAAAGACTTCACGTACATTTGCAAACCCACAGTCATTAAACCCAGAAAAAGCCATTCGTACTGTAGGACCCACAAAAATGTTGCGCTCTCCCCCCGCTGACTCCGCAGTTTGCCCAAAACCTTATTCCCAGTCACGACAGTGACTGGGAATGCTGGGGCAGAGGCTAAAAGGCAGTGGACGAAGTTATTGTTAGGAAAAAAAAACCCAAAATATGTTCATTTCAGCCCCACAAAAGCAGAGATCAAACCCAGTCAAGAGCCACTTTGTTTCAGCCCCCGAGGAGGCCAATTCCAACTGGAGCAAAAGGAAAAGCTAAACTTCTAACAGCCTCTTGATGACCCCAATTTCTTTAAAAAAATCGATTCCTGAAGCAACACCTCTGTGTTTGTGTTCCTTTTTATTATTATTTTGGTTAAAACCAGAAAGCTGAGGGTCAGCAGCAAGAACCGCATCGCTGGGAAAGTGTGTTTGTTTTACCCAGCCCAGGTTGGGATGGAAAGGCCCGTTAAGGTTTTATAGGCTGCCTGGATTCACCATTCTGCGGATACAGAACCCGAAGCTCACAGGAAGATGGACTGGAAGTGGCATTTTACGCACCAAATGAACGCTTTGCTGGATGTCTTAGGGACAAAAAGAGCTGGTGTTGCAGCACGGGGCAGGTCATGCAACTGCTGCTGACCAGAACAGCTCCCACCTGTACTGGGCAGACTGGAGGGGTAGACTGGAGGGGGAGGCTGGAGGAGGTGCCGAGCAGTTTCCCAGCTGGAGCCAAATAAACTATATTCCCAGGGGGCTTAGGAGGAGGTGTCAAGCAGCATCAGCACTGACCTGTGAACAAAGCGCGTTCTTGTGGATCTTCTTGTAAATAAGAGCTGGGCAGATAAAACAAATGAGGCTTCCCATCGTGGCACCCGTCAGGCCCAGGACTGTTTCCACTGGAAAAGAAGAAGAGAAGTCAAAGTCCCCTCCCAGGACTGGTTGGAATGAGTCTGGAGACCCCGGAGATGCTCTGAGGGCTGGAGCCCCTCTGCCATGGGGACAGGCTGGGAGAGTTGGGGGGTTCAGCCTGGAGAAGGGAAGCTCTGGGGAGACCTCAGAGCCCCTTCCAGTGTCTGGGGGGCTACAAGGAAGCTGGGGGGGCTTTTCCCAAGGGCAGGGAGTGACAGGACAAGGGGTGACGGGTTTAAATGGAAAGAGGGAGATGGAAATGGGACATCAGGAAGGAATTCTTCCCGGAGAGGGTGGGGAGGCACTGGGACAGGTTGCTCAGAGAAGCTGTGGATGCCCCATCCCTGGGAGTGTCCAAGGCCAGGCTGGATGAGGCTTGGAGCACCCTGGGCTATGGAAGGTGTCCCTGCCCATGGCAGGGGGTGGCACTGGGTGGGCTTTAAGGTGCCTCCCAACCCAAACCAGTCTGGGATTCTGTGACTGCCAGAGCCCCTGGACAGGCTGGGCCTGAGCCCAGCGACCGTCCCCATCCCTCCCAGAAAAGCAGGTAAGAGAGACCAGAGAAAAGAGCCAAGGCACCAGCCCTTCCCCCCAGCTCCTCACTCACCATTCGGGATCATGATGCCTCCCACCATGGTTCCAAACACAACAGCCAGCGTCAGGGCTTTGAACCGAAGCGGGGGCATATAACCCCCAGCAGCAAAGGTGCCGTCTTTTTGCTGGAAAAGAAAGGGCAGGAGAGGGAGGAGTTTAGCTCCTGCATCACGACCCCACAGTCCCTCAGCTACTACCCCAGCAGCTTCGTCACCCCCAGGCAGAGGGGTGTGCTAGGAAGAGCAGTTTTAATACACAACTGCGTTTGAACCCTCAAAACAAGAGTGACGGGGGGCACGGGGCCAAAGCTGCCGTTTTCATCCCCCTCCAAATGGGAACTGTGGAGCTGTATCCCAATCCCTGTGCCAGCACTGCAGCCGCCTGGCCCTGGCGAGCGGCCCCAAGGCCAAGGGCAGGAGGAGGAGGTGCAGCCAAGGCAGGAGGGAGAGTGATCCCAGGGGGAAGGGCGCTGGGGTTGCTACAGCAAGGTGTTCCCCAACACAGGCGGGAGCAGGGCTATTCCCACGTTACAACACACATTCCCGCTCCTCCGACTTGACGGGGGACACCCAGCTAGATGAGAGGGGGACGGGTGCTGCTGGAGGGTTTCCAGATGCCCTCCGTTTCCCATCCCATCCCCACCCTCCAAGCAGGAGGTGCGAAAGGGCCCAGCGAACTCCCGTGCCCTGGAAAACCAGCGGGTCCTGGCTCTCCTGGATGCACAGATGGGAAAGGAAAGCAAAATGACACGTTCAGAGCCCAAAAAGCAACGAGCTGAGCCCAGGCGTGAACCAAAGGCTTCCCAAGCGTCTCCAGCGCTTCCGCCCCTGCACCCGCTGGCTTTCACCGACCGTCCTCCCCCATCCCCGAGCCCTCCCGACGCGAGAAAAGAGCCGGGAGCTTCTCACAGGCAGAAGTGGCAGGATTTAGATCTATAAATTGCTCAAGTTTTATTTCCTGCCCTAAGAGGTTTCTATTTATGCAGATACACAAAGGCCTCAGAACATTCCCACAATCTCTCACTGTTATTTACTGAATACCATCGGCGTGCTTAGCGCCGCACAATACACAGAGGAGAACGCGCTACTCCCACAAGGGACTTACAGTCTAAGTCAGACAGACCAACTACAGTCACAACCGTCTGAAGATCTGACCCTGGGAAAGGTGAACGCGTGGGACGGGCCGTGTTCCCCCGCGAGCTTCTGCGCCGGGCCGGCAGCAACCAGCCAGGGGAGACACCGGAGGAAGGGGACATCCAAACCCAGAGAGGAGAAGCTACTTGGGGAGCTCCGGGGAAAGGGGCAAGGGCGGGAATAGAAAAGCAGAAGTGAGCAGGCAGACGCAGAAGCAAGAAGAAAGGAGACCGGGCTCTGAGGCCTGGAACAGAAGCTTGAGCTAAATGCACAGCAAGGCCAAGTTGGCCAGCAAAAGGATGCCAGCTGGGACAGCAGGAAATAAGGAGGCTCCTCTGTTTCCCAAAAGCACGTTCTTTCTGAGGGGAGAGAACCACCTCGACTCCGAACTGCGTAACACTCCTGCGCGAGAGACAAAACCCCCACGGAGCGGGGAAGGAGCAGGAGCGGGCCTCAGGGTGCGGCAACTCCAGCCCTTCTGCCCACACCATTCCTCTACGGAGAGGACAAGAAACTCCAAGTACCAGGAATTAACCATTCGGGATTTACGGGCTGCCCTGGGCCTGCGGCCGCACCATTACCACCTCCGGTACAGCGGAGGGTTTGTCCCTCCGGACAGCAAGTACCTACCAGGAGGCAGAAATACGTCAGCTGTCAACAGTCAGTAGCCCAGGTGGGCAGCAGAAGCCGAAGCGCCAGAGCAGCCCTTCAAAAACCCCTTCCCAGAGGTGCACAGCGAGGCAGCCAGCTGCTCCTGGCCACCGGAGAGGATCTTACCTGCTGCTCAAAGAGGAGGGTGTTCAGCGCCTGTCTGCACGGGAGAATCATCATCGGAAACCCCACGGCTACCGACATCATGAATCCCACTCGGATCATCTCCGTCACCAGGTTGGAAGGGAAGTTCATGAGGACGTTCCCAGCAATGGCTTCAGTGTAACTCACGTAGCCAAAGAAGCCGACCTGTCCGGCGGGAGGGGAGGAGAGCGGTCAGGGTTGGACCCCAAAGCACATTCCTACCTGCTCTTTACAAAATCGGGAAGGTCAGCGACCTCCCACGAGTCAGGACCAGCCGGACAAGGAGGGAACACGGGGCCACCTCCGCAGACGACCTTCCAGCAGCCCCAGCTGCAGCGTTCCCCAAAAGCTGAGAGGGACAGTTAAGGGAACAGCGGGACCTTCCCAAGAGCAGAGGCAAGTTTCTCACTCAGCACAGGGGGATTTTGGGGAGGACGTCGCAGCGAGGGAACGCTGCCCACGCCACCCCACTTGCTGCCAGGCCCACGGACTGGCCTCCAACGACGGAGGGGCTGTAACGATTCTTAGCTCACAGGGCAAGGTTCTTCTTGGGAATTATTAACTCTGTTTTATTAACTGCTGCTTTATGAGGCATAAAATTCCTTCTTTCCAATCCTTCTAATTGCAACAGGCTGAAAGGAGTGCTCCTAAAGGCCAGGGGCAGCACCTCCAGCTCCCGTGCCCTGGGAGGCAGACAGCACACACATGGAAAAGCTGGATCTGCACTCTGCCTCCACCCAAGGAAACGTACCACGTGGATAATTTGGACCCTCCAAACGTCCCCTGTGCAGTTTGCCATCTCCCATCTCACTCTGCTTGCAGCAAAATGACTTATCTTTGAGAATAAATACAGATAAGCAGCAACCAGCCCCAAGGGAAGATAAATCATCATCCCTGCTGCCCCTCAGGAGCGGGACTTCTGCCAAGGAAAGGGAAGGGGGAAGTTTCTTACCGTAATGTAAAAAGTGGTGACCACGTTGAGGGAAGAAGCAAATATGGAGCTCATGATTTTAACAGACGGCTCATCCAAGCTATCGTAGGTAGGCAAGACCTGACTGTAGAAAAGGTTAAATTATTTAAGGCAACCTTCTGTAGCGAGAGAGGGAGAAAAACCCAACTCGGGCACGTTCCCTGCCTCAGCCCAGCAGCAAAGAATCCCCGACACCTTCCCCCTGCGAAGCACAAACACTCGCCGCTATTCCACAATCTGGATTGCTAATGCCAAAGAGATTTCGGAACACTCATAACTCTTAAGTGCTGCAAAAAAACCATTCCTGAAACCTGCTCTCCCCCACCCCACCACGTGGAGCTGAACGTGTGATGTAAACATTTTGGTTCAAAAAGCGTTGCAAAATGAATGACCGTTTGTTCCAGTGAAACGCGGGTGGCACCAGGCCAGGCAGCGCCGGGAGATTGTTGTTCTTGGAGCTCTCCGTGCTGATAATTAAAGCAACGCCGTGTTTGCAGAGGAAAAGCAGGAAGAAGGTTAGAGCATCGCGCCGTCTAAAAGACAAGTTAAACAAACAAAATGCAACGCGACGCCTGTCAGTTTTCAGCGCCGCTGCTGGAGCCCTCGGGTTCGTCGGGAGCGCCAACTCCGCGGGATTTGGGGTATTTACAGACTTGGAAAGCCCGTGGAATGTACTTTTTGACATCAGGTGCATATTTCAGCAACTCATTAACCTCTTTGTTGCTTGAATTCAAGTGGCTACATCCTGGCTTCGTGTTACTGAAGTAACTCTCAGAGAAGGGCGGGAGAATCCAGTGGGATGGGAAGGGGGGATCCCCAGCTCCAGCGGGCACCAAGCCACCAACACAAAGTCTGTCAAGCCGAGGCCAAGCCGAAAAATCCTTAACCCTTAATCCCTTAACGTCGAGGGGTTCTGCACAAAGGAAGCGGAGGACATCGGCTCTCAGGAACCCGCGAGACGCGCACGCGGGGGCTGCAAACGCAGCGCCGTGACGGCCCTTTACTGGCAGGGAGTGAGGAGAGCAGCTTCCCCGGGAATCTCTCCACTCTGGGTTCCTCACTGCAGTCACCTCCGCTAGACTACATCCCAGTATTCAGCCCCAGGAGGGGAAGGGAGCCAGCCAAACATCCGAGCTCAGGAAGGAGAAGGAAGGAGGGAAGCAGAGGGGTTGGGCACAGCCAGGCCAGGCTCATGTTAGTGCAGGAGCCCCGTGCCATGGGGAAAGGTGCCGTGCAAAGCCCAGCTGCACCCAGCAGCGCCCGTTGGGTGAATTTGGGTTTGGAGGAGCAGGACAGCAACCCTCAAGCCCCCAAGAGACGCTGCCAGGCCCTCCTGACCATCCCCACCTCTCGAGGCAGAGCAGCACGGCCCAGCAAGGGGGGTAGTTTCAAGCAATGACTGGACTGAAGGGCAGCAAAGGGTCAGGGACCCCTCCCTGCATCCTCCGTTACGCTGCACCGCAAAGAGGGCACAAGCAGATGGTTCCTCCTGAGCAGAGAGCGGGTAAGTCAAAAGAGCAGCCTCAGAGAGAGCAGATTTGCTTCAGAGACGGGCAGAGCGACCTGAGAGTGTCTTCACCTTCACTGTTGAGATCAGCTCGTACGGGCTCCCCGAGCCCAGCACTAACCCAGCCTGAAGGGAGCTGATGCTCCCAGCGGCAACGAACAACATCCCGACTTGTTATCCCAGTGAATTTGGCATTTCTGCACCCCTCTGCACCAGAACAGCCACGTCTAGAAACCAGGAGTTTTCTCCCGGGAAGCTCTACTGACTCCTCGTTAATGAGAGGGTTCGGGGACTCGACCCAGGTCACGCAGGGAGGCTGCAGCGGAGGCAACGCAGGGGTCCTCGCTCCGTAACCGCAGAGGAGTGACCTCCCTTCCAGCTTCAGGACAGCTTCTACGGAGCAAAGAGCATTGAACTCGCATGTAAAGCAGGGTTAAGCTAGAATAACAGCGCATTTATTTGTCCTCGCTGATTGCTGCTGCAGCAGAAATCCTTTCCCTTCGTGCCACAACTACTCATTTTTTATAAAGGCGATACCGAGGTGAGCAAAATTAAACCTACCCAGCTGAGAACAACATGCTCACAAAGACTGCCCGGGCTGGGGACAGCGTACTGCCCCGATGCTTGGAAAAAACGCGTCGCTTTGGGTTCAGCTTGCCACGTAAGTGCCGCCGCGGAGCCTATATTTAGGTATGCGCACGCTGGTCCAGACCAAACCATTTCCCCACGTTTCCAACTCCCAGCGAAATGCTGCTGGGTGCTGTGTGGCTAGCCTAAGGAATCGAAGGATTTTAGGAACTCTGAAATGTTAACAAAGTAAAGCTGTAAAAGAATAGAATTCCCTTTGCCAGTTGTAATGGAGACATTAAACAGCAAGACTGGAGCGTGTTTGGGTAGGAACCGAGCTGCCAAGAGAGCCAATAAGTGGAAAATGATGATTTGGATCCTGCGTGTGGGTGTAAACACAGCAGTCTGCACAAATTTTATCTGTCACATTCATTTACTGTTGGCATGCTACCCGTTTGCTAGAACTCCGGCAGGGGGGGGAAAGCCCGACTCTGCCAGCCTTCCAAACGAGGATGGTCTTTTCCGTGTCCACATTTGGATTTACACTTCTATTTCAAGTCTGTTACTATTCCGGCCAGGCACGTATTGCTCACTTGCCATTTTGGTGCAGAAGGTAATGCTAGAAATGTGAAAACAGCCTGGCCCGCCGGCACGGCCCTCCAACAGAAACACTCGTTAAAGCAGGTAACTGGAAACGCACAAACGACTTTCCAAAAATCCAACGGCTGGGAGATCTTCTGAGTGTTCTCAGAGAGATCCAGGGAGGCAGCGAGCAGCCGTGAGCATTCGTACCCCACAGGGCGGCCCACGGCCATCAGGTGACACAGCCCTGCGACCTTTCCCGGCACTAAATCATTCCCTCCAAAAAATGAGGGGGAATCATCGCTCCTGCAGCTGTACCAGCAGCAACAGGCAATACACTGAGGGTGTTTGGCCCAAATCATACAATCACAGACTGGTTTGGGTTGCCGGGATCCTAAAGCCCCCCCAGCCCCACCCCCTGCCATGGGCAGGGACACCTTCCATAGCCCAGGTTGCTCCAAGCCTCATCCAGCCTGGCCTTGGACCCTCCCAGGGATGGGGCATCCACAGCTTCTCTGGGCAACCTGTCCCAGTGCTCCCCACCCTCTGCGGGAAGAATTCCTTCCTGATGTCCCATCTCCATCTCCCTCTTTCCGTTTAAACCCATCACCCCTTGTCCCATCACTCCCTGCCCTTGGGAAAAGCCCCCCCCAGCTTTCTTGTAGCCCCCCAGGCACTGGAAGGGGCTCTAAGGTCTCCCCGGAGCTTCCCTTCTCCAGGCTGAACCCCACAATGATCTTGTGTTGCTCAAGTCCAATAACTCCCAAGTGAAACAGAGCTCCCTCCCCCACCCAGGTGACCAAGGGGTCACAGTGGAACGAAACGCTGTACTTCAGCGGGCCGTAAGATAGTCTGATTAATAAAATAGGAAACCAGATGGTACCTATCCCTCGCAGATCCTCGTGACCCTCTGCCCTCAGGAAAACCCACAGCGCGCCAGAACTGCCAGAAGCGGGGAGGGCAGGTACTTACGACTGACAGGCAAAAGACATGCCAAAGATGGGGATGCAGCGAAAAATGCCCTCCCAGCGAGCGTAACTAACTCGCTGCAGCCACTGCCCGCCGAAGAGGCCGTGCTTGAAGGACGACAGCACAATCTGCAGCCAAGAGAAAGGAAAGGGCTTAAGGTCCAACCCCAAAACAACCCGGCGGCGCGCGGCAGCTCGGCGAGGAACAGCTTACACTGCCCACCGCAGCCCCAGATCCCCCAGCTCCCCACTCCCACCCTTTAATAACGCTCCCTCCCACGGCCCCTTACCCCCAGGGTGTGTTTTAAAGGATCTCCAACATCCCCTTCCCCCTTTTTTTGATGCCACCAGACACCGTAGCACGCACCAGGGTGGAACAATTTCCGCAGACGCATTTAACCTTGAGGGAATTCTCATTCCCGACAATTTCTTCTGCGCCTTTTTTAAAGCATGGATTTTTAAAAATCCAACACTTGCCTTGGAGAATCCTATTCAGCAGCAAGACAAAGGTTCCTAAAACAGGACTCCCACCTGCACGCTGCTACTCCAGAGCCATTGAACACCACCGGCTCACCAAAGGCATGGATAAAGTTCAGGAAAAGGGGGAGCGAGGCCAGGGGAGCTCCTGCCATGGACAGGGAATCTGGCAGGCATTGGGTTGCACAGGAAACAGAAGGTAAATATGTCTGAATGCCTGTTTATAATATCGCCTGAATGGGGGTTTGCTAATCCCCAGAGAGGACGTTCTAGTGCAGCCAACTCTCCCGAAGTGTTGTGGGTTTCTTAAAGGCACAGCTCCCGGAACACGGCAGCTGTGCAAATCACAGCCTCCTTCCAGAGGGAAGCTCAGAGGGGTGACCCAGCTCAACCGACTAAAAAAAAAGAATTTCCACACCTCCATTTTCTTCCTTGTGTTTCAGCTCCTGAAATTTGGGAGAGAAAGGGCTGGGGCTCCCCAAGCAAACCACAGGAGCACCCGCAAAGTCATTTTAATGACTTGCAGTCATTAAAAACCAAGGGAAAGTCTCAGTAAATGGGGTTTGGCCAAGGCAAACAGGGCTGGCTTTAGGTAACTCTCAGCTTGCCCTACTTCATCTAAATGGCCAAGAATCCTTTCACCTCAGGGAGGAAAAACTCTCCTAGAAATATCCATGAACAAGTTTATGCCATGAACCAGATTTAAGACTTTACAAAGTTTCAGTGCTCAAGAAATAGAAGCGCTGGTGCCTGACAAATAAAACTGTTGGCAGCCCCAAAGATGTTAAGCAAAGGCTGCAAAAAAAGCATCCAAAGTCCACACTCGGGCTCTTCATGAGAGCTGCCTTTCCCCCAGAATTAGAAGCATTATGGTTTTCAAGGCATAACACACGATGAAAGTCCTTCTGCTTCCAGCCACTCTTCCCCACATCTTCCATCCTTTTGATTTAAAGTTCAGAGCCCTAAATTATAAGACACCAACCAGCAGAATAAACCACAACTCGATTTGTGGTTTATTATTGTTGGTGGCACCGCAGGCCCGAGCATTCGGAATAACTTACAGACCCACCGGCCGCTTCCTACAGCCTCCACCTCCCCACCCCAACAGCACAAGCACCCAGACCTCTCGTTATGCCCGGCACAAGCAACGCTAATTACCAGGAGGGACACTGTAAACTCAAGGCCTGCACCTGCAGGCTGTCCCAGTGGGAACATCTGTGCTAAAACAATGGGAAAATAGCATTCCCAGCACCGATACTCACCACGAACATGAACACCGTGTAAAAGATCAGAGCCATGGCGCTGAAGGACTGTATGGAGGCCATCATGTTCCGCTGGAGGCTCAGTGGAAGGACAATGCACAGGGAGACAGCGAAGAGCAGGACTATCCGGAAACTGCCGGAGACCTGGAAAAGGAACTCGCGTGAAGAACTGAAGCACGGAGGGTATTACCACCAAATTAGCAAAGTAACTCCCCGCTGTGCCTAAGTTTTCCGGAGTGATGCGAAGCCAGGATGGATTTCACACGTGGCATTCTGCTTCTGCACGTAGTTAAAAAGATGCGACGCCGCGAGCCCGCCGTTGCCTCGGCTAGGTCTGTGATTAGCTCGCACAGTCACTGGGTGCCACTGTTGCTCCGCACAGCGCGCGACAGGTCCATCCTGAACTGGAAGTGTTTGGGGAGGGGCGGGAGGGGGGTGTTAAAATGCTAATCCGGCACAAGCTATTTAGGTATTTTCATGCAATTAAATAAAAAACTAAACTTACTCGGGAGACAAGAGATTGAAGTCTTGAAAATTCCGATCCAGAAAATTAATCAAAACCTCACATTGGTATTTATCATAGCAGAACGCTGCGAAACGCTTGGAAATGTTTAATACCCAAATTGGCTGCAGCCACAACGCATCTTTTTTAACTTCACAGCCCCTTAATCGGAGCTTAGCAGCATCAGGCGGAGCAGATAACAGCCCCGCCAAAAATCCTTCCACGCGTCCATGCTGCTTCCGAGTGCTGCGGCTCTCTGGGAAGAGCAGCAAGAGCTCCTGCCCACGAGGAGCTGCCTCCACACGTCTTCAGCCAAAACCAGGGTCATCTCACAGCTGATTTTAGCTTAAAGGGGAGGCAGGAGCACAGTCACTTCAGCCACCAAAACAGCAAGGGACAGGCCAAAAATCCCTCTTGAGCTAGCGGGGGTGACAGCTGGGACAGAGGAACCGCCTGTCACTACCCATTAGGGGTAGGAATTAAGACAGGAAGCATCATCTCCTCCAGGAATCTGCTCCAGAATGAAGAGAGACCCAAGTTAAAAAGAATTCCTTTGTTGGAAACGCCTTAGTGGAGGTTTCAGGCATCTGATTGTTTGCCATATGTCTGGGCTTCAAACGTCACCGAGCTAACCACGCCGTGCTCACCACGAGATCATCCCACACCGCCTCGTGGGCTGCCCAGCTCCCTGCAAAGGCAGGATGCCCTTCCCAAAGGACACACGGCTCAATGGGAGGAGTGGAACCCCTGCCCGTGTCGTGGATGTGATCCAGAGAGGATTTATTTACCTGGAAACCAAGCAGCCGGGCAAAGAAGTTGGACCCCAAATCACCAATGACAACGTAGAAAGCAATGCACGTTCCCAGCATCAGTCCGATCATGCTGCAAAACGCCAACAAAATACAAACCAGACAATAAAAATGTCCGTTTACAGAGAAACATCCAGAAGAGCGGAGCAGAAAATGCTAAGAAGGTGACTTAAAATCTTGTGTTCAGACGCAGAGCAGCCCCGGCGTGCCTTGCTTCAGCGTACACCCACCCTCTAACACGACTCTCTGGCCTTTCACAGAGGAGACAAGCCCCAAATTTTGCCAAATCCCACCGAAAAACACATAGGCAACCAGTCATAAAGAAGGTTTTCCACCACGGGGATACAGCAGGCCGTCAGCCCGCTCTCACAGCCGCACGAGCCAGCTGCGCAGCAGTACCCGTGCCCGAGGGGAGGGTCACACTTCCATCCTCAGGCTCGTGAGGGGTGGGCCACCCAACCCCAGCCACACAAAAACCAGAGAAGCTCCATCCACCCGCCGTTGACGCCCACCCTCTCGGCGAGACGCCGTGCTGGTAACAGCGCGTGTGCGGGTTTGGAACCGCAGGAAAAAAGTCCCCCAGACCTTGGAGATGGCAAGATCTCCTTTATTTCTTGGAAAAAAAGGGTTTAAAATAATCAGCAAGAGGTTCCCTCAGCCCCACGCCCCGCAGCGGGGGCTTCCCGTGAAAGTCTCGCTACCGAATCGGCTCTCAAACTTCTTCCCACAACGCGGACCGCACTTCCAACGGAAAGGCTGTCTGATGAGCTGCTTCTCCTCCCCGCCACGATCCCACGGACCACTCTCCCTCCCGGTTCCGACTGTGTTACCAGCCCTGCGGCAATGACGGCGATCACCCGCGTGGACAACAACATCCCAGGGATTCGGTGTATTTTTGGTGTTGTGCAGGAATTGGCAGCTGGGAGGAGGGCAGGAGCCAGCATCAGCGACTTGCCGGGGCTCGAGATGCCTCCAACAAGGAATATCCACTGGAAAAAGCGGCGCGGCAAGGATGCCGCATCGCGACTGCGGAACGAAACCTGTCGAGGAGCTTCCACTTGCACTAGGGTCAGCTGAGGAACCAGAACCTGTCCCAAAATGGAGATGGGATTTCTCCGAGCAGGCATCTCCTCACGCCTGGCATCTCCCGGCGGAAAGCTGCACCCGCCGCGAGGAGCGCGCTAAAGGGTGGATCCGAGGTACCTAACGCTCTCCCTCCCACTACCGCACGGCGATCTTGGCAGGGATTCCACCCCTGGAAAAGGGCCACAAGCGACAGGCCCGTCGTTTCACAGCGCAGGCAGCAGGGCGGGAGAGGGGCTCATTCCCCAACTCCTGTGCTCCCGCTATCTTGGAAAGCTCAGGAACGGGTGGGACATGCTGAAGGCGACACCTGCGAGCTGTGCTGAGGGGAGCTCGCGCTCCCGTTCAAATTCCAGCTGGCAAGGAAGACCTCTAGGAGCAGAGGAGGCAGGAGGGTAAGAAACAGGAGCGCAGCAAGGCTACGAGAGGCCAGAGAGCAGCATTTTCTTTAAAGAAAACCAAACTACCCCAGCTTTAAATAAGTTGCAGATTACCTTGTTTCCACCAACATTTTTCCTGCTTTTCCATAGGCGTGAAATGCTGGAAGAAGAGGGGGGAAAAAAGAAGAACAGTTGTAGTTAGCCAAAGAAAGGTCCAGAACGCGGCACGGGCGTCGGTTCAAAAATCAAACGAGAGCAGCGACAAAGGGCAGCGCAGCAGGAACCCACCGGCGTCATGTTTTGGGGACTGTTCCCCTTGCTCACCCTCCCACTCCCTTTTTCTGACATGCCCTCTGCAAACTGAAAACCACATAAGGCAGGAACAAAGGCGAGGGGAAGATAGAAAGCAGTTTGGGTTTTTTTTTTTTAAACTAGAAAAAAATAAAAGAGGTGGTGTGAAGTAGCAGTCACACATGGCAAACATTAAGACAGCCAGCACGGAAGAGAAAACGCGCCTGTGTAAGATGTTGTGCGGCAAGAAGTTACTGCAGTGCAAAATTTCAACCAAACTCTCCTTTTTTATTTTTATCTTCCCACTAGAAGTGAACCGCCTGACGCTGCTGGATGGGAGATCTGAGACGGTGCCCAGAACGCTCCATCCCATACCCAGAATACCCCGTCCTCACAGCCCACACCAAAGGGCTGCTGCCAAGAGCGGGGTGGTTGGGGTTTGCTTTTTCCCCTCCCATACTTGGGTTGTAGCAGAAAATGATCGGTCGCCCTTAAATCATTGTGTTTTTTCTTAAAAACGCCCAGAAAACTCCGCTTTTATTTTTAGATCTTACTGGGAAGGATGGGAATTGAGATCTCCAGTTCCAAACACAGACCGCACTGCCCGACTTGGGCGGTCCAACGTGAAAACCACCCCCCAACCCCAGATTCTCCTTTGTCTTCTCTCAAGGTACAGCACACATGCCGGGGGGCCACCAGGAAACAAGCTCTGGTTCCCTTCTGGAAGCATCTTCTGCTATTTTAAATATTAACTTACAAACTCGGATTTCTTTGGACTCTGCTTGAGCTGAAAAATTAAGGAAACAAGATGTTCTCCCACAGAATGGGGGGGGAGTGGGGGGGAGACCCACAGGAGAAAAATAAACCGGAGCTGTTATGTGGGGTAGGACTGAAAATAGCCGATGGCTGGGTGTCAGAGTGGGTGGAACCGCCGCCACCAGGCATGCTGCCCGAGAGCCGCCGCATCGCTCCGGCCTCCAGCTCCCACCTCGTTTGGGAAGTCGTGACGATAAGGGGAAAAGGCAACAGCCCTTGGGGGGTGCAACCACACAGCCAAGGGGCTGGGGATGAGAGAGGAACCAGCAAAACATCCCTCCTGGAGACGGTTCATCGCGGAGCCGGTCTCCAAGACAGCCGCTCCCGTGAGCTCCTTTTTCACACCACACAGGGCGGGGGCCTCCCGGATCCCAGCGACGGCCTGGGCCAGGGGTGCTGAGAAACAGTCCCCTTGGCTGATCTGGAGCGATGCTCTAAGGAGAACAAGCCTTCAGACGTTATGCCAGATGTCCCCATCTGGGGACGCAGGGAAAAACCGGATCCTTTATCTTCTCAAGGGGGAAGTAGACAACGACCGTACAGTCGAGCACCTTCGAAAGGGAATCTCTAGACGCCCAAGAGGCTGGGCAGAGCTGAATCCGCTCAGTCATTCGAGAAGCCCTCTTAAACCAAGTGGTTTCAGTGGTTACTAGAGCGGGCAACCTGCGTTTCAGCACTTGACAGGGATCCGCGTGCTGCTGACGGGGTCGGTACCCGGTGCCGCGAAGACCCAGACCTGCAAGGGGAGGCATTAACGCATCTCCTGGTTTATCTGGGAGCTGCATCCCACTCCCCTCCATGTCCACACAGCTGTCCAAGGCCATTCCCTCCCACACAGCATGGGAGAACAGCAGCGAAGAGCAAAATATTTGTAATACCCAAGCCCTCCAGGCACAGAGCGGTGCGAAGACATCGGGGCTAGACATCAGCCCACTCCGACCCCGGCTCTTTTGTGGCTGTAACGATCGCTCCCTGTTCCTCCGGAAGGGACTGGCTGCCCAAAGTTAATTTGCAAAACTTTCTGACATCTTTCAGCGCTGCCAAAGCCTCCCACAGGATCAGCTGCGGGGGCTGCCAGCATCCCTCGCAGATGTACTGGGGCACAAGCTCCCGGTGACAAAGGCCGTCTGTGTGGAGCTGCTCAACCTTGATGCATTAGGATGCGTTACGGGCGCGCTGCCTTTCCTCTCGGGGCTGTCCCTCCCGGTGGCACCTCTCCCAGGGCAGAGGCATTTCTTTCAGCACCAGCGTCTGCGTGCCAGGAAGTTTAAGAGGCATTACTGGCCCTCTTGTGTATTCGAACTCCTTGGCTTCGGAGGGAGCAGAGGATCCCTTCTTCCCGGGAGACGCTCCAAGGTGGAGGGGACTCTCTGTACTCCGGGGAAGCGGCACACAAAGATGCGTTGTAAGGGGGCAGCTGGGCTGGAGTGATGGGGGCCGAGGCAGAGGCTACCTGGGGGCTCCCCCTCCTCCCCCCTACTATCAGGCCCGAGCCGCCGAGACAACAGAATTCCTTGATTTTTACCGTTTCTAGCAGCTATAGCTTGGCAGAAGCCAAGGCGTGCGGCCCAGCAGCAGCACCGCGGGCACGGCGAGCATGGAGAAAACCCATCTGTCAACAACAAGGTCAGCGAGGGAGCCGCTTTTACAGATGGCAATGCCAGCCAACTCTCTCCTCCCCCAGAAAAATAAGGGAAACAGAGTAAAAGAAGCCTTTTCCTGTCATTTTGCATGCCAACGGAGAGGACTGGAAGCCGACCACCTCTTCCCGCCCCCCAGGTCGGTCAGAATCAGAGGGTCACAAGCAGAGGCCAACCCTGGCGCCAGCGCAGAAGCAAGAAGCTCCGAGGAAAAGGGCTGGCGGGCTCTGCCAGCAACCCACACATGAATCTTACAGATGTTTTTATTTTCTTGGCCGTTTGGAACCTCGCGCTCCGTTTCCTCCCTGCTCTGCCATAAACGCGCAGGCAGCTCGGATCCAGGCAGCCCGAGCTCCGTGCCAGGCTCTCCCGCTGGCAGAACCCGATGTCCCCGGCAGCACACTGGGTGGGGAAGCTCGCGGCTTTCGTGCCGAGACCAATAATTTACACCAGACACCCGCTACGCCAGCTCCCGAAAACTTGGGTTTGGATCAGTCAGCGCTGCATCTCCTCCCCTGCCCCGCAGAGTCAAAACAATTCCGTGCCGATTAACGGCGCTGTCAAGAGCGGAATTAAACCCTCGCGTTCCCCTGGGGACGTGGGGCTGGAGTAGGGGTGAGAGACTGACAGAAGAAAACAAATTGAAGACGACATCAAGAAACGGGTCGTTATGCCAACAATATCGGTATGAAAGTTGTAAATTAAGTAAAACCGCAGTTTAAATAAAAAAAACCCAAGCCCTAGAGCTTGAAAATTTCTCACCGAGGCCGGGGTAGGTCCTGCGCTTGC